GCCATTGTTTACTTTAAACGCAACCTACACATTTAAAGCCAAAATCTTTTAGGTATGATATAAATTGCGCAAAATCATACAAATTGTAAATAAGTAGTGTCAAATCGGTGATTTATCTAACAAATCCATGAAACAATGGTCTAGTTAAAAATAATGATCACACAGCATCTGGTCTAGACACAAAACGAAACCCGTAACCATGTTCACACAATAACGACCATATATCAAACCTGACTTGTCGTTTGCGGTTGATTTCACGTTGTGTCATTTTCCAGCAAAAATGTCACGTTCGTGTTTGAGGAACGACATTCTGGATGGTTTTGATTAAACGTGTTTTGAATGTATTTAATGTTTAACTATCGTAAAATGATCTCATCCTTGTTCTACATAACCACATTTTGAATTTAAAACAGCTGGGTTGTTGTAAATCTAGTTCTCTCTTAGTAGTCGGGAAGCAACCGATTCAACCCTGAGAAAAGTCAAAAGCCTTTCGGTCAGACCTAGGTTTCCTTGATCAGGCTTTTATAAATGGCCAGCTGAAGAGACAACTAGTCATAGTCCGTAACAAAGCTATTGTTTAATTCATTCACTCATTATAACCCCAAAATACATATTATACCATGTCAGCGTCGTGAAAATGTAATTTGATCCACAATTACCAAGGCATCAAATACTTTACATAATGGCATGTAAATATATGCAATTTTGTAACCTATACAACGATACATATTAGCTTATTCGTGATAACTTTGAATAATTTTATTACTGCGCAATATTGACTGCATCTGTATTGGTAAGCGAGCTGATCTAGTGGGAAAAATTATTTAAGTTTAGCAAGTTGTTAAAAAAGTTATAATTTTAGGATTTTTACCAAGGGGGAATGCAATAGACTTATCCTAAAGGTGTGAATTGCATTAGTTCATTTATGTGTTATGTCTAACATTAATCACTCAAGATGGGGTTAAATAGCCGATCCTATCATCAACAAAGATATGTACTGTACCAAGTCCATGACATGCTCCAATTAGTTCAAGAATATTGTAAACACCTCATATAATTAAAATAATCATTTTTAGGTAAAATAGCATTTAAAATCCCACTTAATGTGATGAATGCGTAGCATAGGTTTGACGTTTTGACCATTGCTTGGTTATTTATTATTTTTGTGCATTATAATTTTTGTATATGATGTGTCTAATATCTTCAATACTTAATAATTCTTGGTAAATAATGACTTGAAGGTTTTCTTACATTACAGATTCGTCTGTCTCTAGATCCCAATGAGTTTGAAAATATCAGAAAAAGATTAATATCAATATGTTGAAAATTCATAGAAATATTTATACCGGGTGTCCCACGAAGGGGTTTAAACGTTTGATTTTATATTACGTGCCCATTCATGCACCGAACCTTTTTAAACTTTACACAGTTTACAAAGTAGGTTCTAAAAATATTCTGGAAAAATTTAAACTCCCTAACCTTAGTAGAAACAAAATGGCGGCTTATTGACAAATTTACCAATGTGCTTTCTATAAAAACTACTTTCATGATTTATTATTAGTTATTTATTTATTATTATTATTTATTAGTTATTTGATTAATTTTTAGTTTTCCATTTGGCTATGTTCAAATTTTTTCTCGTTTTAAAGTCATATTGCCCTGGAAAGTAACAATAAAAATATTTTATAAAACCAAAAATACCTTTTTTAATGTTTTAAAGTAACTTTTTCAATATGCCGCCATTTTGTTTCTACTAAGGTTAGGGAGTTGAAATTTTTCCAGAATATTTTTAAAACCTACCTTGTAAACTGTGTAAAGTTTCAAAAAGTTCGGTGCATGAATGGGCGCGTAATATAAAATCAAATGTTTAAACCCCTTCGTGGGACACCCTATACAATTGCATGTATTGCTGAGGATGGTTGAGCGTCACACAATGCACAAATACGTTGCAGATATCTTGTAGACTGATTGAACAGAAGGGTCCACAACAAATGGAATATATTCAATACCTCCCTGTCGACTCCAGATGCATCATATGTTTGTTCCATCCTTTCCAGAAATGTAAAGTAAAGTTGTACCTTCATAATCTTGGTTTAAGAATCGAATGTTTATCTCATATCTTTCTAAAATTTACTCCCGAAAAAATCAGAAATTTTTGAGCAAGTTAATTGGTTTCAAGGCATGAAATAAACTAGCTTAGCTAAAACAAAGACGGACAAAGTTACAGAAACTAAAAGTCCTAATATTATTTGTGTGCAAATATTTGGTCATAAAAGTTAAACTATTGTGATCAAAATTGATTTTAAAAATGGTAAATTAAAGTCACCATTATCAAATATCAAAACCAATGACAATCTCAATTTAAACCTTATGCTCAAACAATTTTCACTGCATTTGACACCAATCCAAAACTAGTATTGGAAAAGGATTTTGATGATTGCGTTGAACTGACTGTCCCGATGATGGCACAGAACGTTGAGCTTTACAAAAAAAGATTCTCCGACGTCATAAGCTTAAACAAACCATATACGAAAGCGATTGTGGCTTTAGCTGAAATTCGTATTACAAAATAACCGCACTTATAAGATTTTGTAGCTAGGTCACATATCTTTGATACATGTTATGAGTTAGTAAGTAAAAAAAACACCCACAATAATCAACAATTAAATAGTTTGTACACTACTTGAATAATTAAATCATGCATTTTAAATAAGACTTAAAAAATACACACTTTTACACATTGTAGCATTTCTTTAAAAGCTGAGAGTGCCATGAAAGGCAGGCAAGATATTTTATGCAGCAGTTGCAAGCAATGTAACAGTGACCAGACTACCACAACACTGGACGAATGTTAAACTGACCCATGTAAATATGGCCTCTCCCTAACTTCTGTTGTATAATGTGTTCTTATTGCTTAGTAAATATCCTACTGCGGGTTGGTAACCGTTATATACTCTTTGTTTAGTACTCGTTTGTTTTTACTAGGAGAATGTACATTTCCCGTATACCTGTATTTACAGTGTTTCGTTACGTAAGTTTAAATGCCGTACATATTACTCACACAAAAAATGGATTGACGAACACCAAAACGTAAAGTTTAAAGAGAGAAAGTAGAAGCTCTGCTATAGATATAAAACATGTTACAAAATAATCAACTGTAGTAAATCCAGTTGTAATAGTAATAGTGGTTGTTGATAGTTAATCGACAAACTTTGCTCTTAAAGAGAACATCTGACATAATTGGATTGACAAGGACGAATAAAATTTCCATTTACTGTGAGCGGCACACACTCATTTCAGCATATGATGTGTGAATGGCATCTGTAATATAACTGAGCTGAATAAAGATAAGTGAAGATACATTTTAGAAAAAGTGTCAATTATTTAACGCACGTTTCAACCCAACAAAATATTTTCGTAAGAAAAATAACATTGAGGATAAACAGCAATCGATAAATATTAATTACACTCAAATACAAAATAATGAGTTTGTGAATAAATAAATTAAAATGACATAAATTGATACTTATAACAAAAATTATACCTATTTCAACACTTACATCGACCATACAAAGATAATTTAAAGTTAAAAATATAATGCTGCCTGAGAGCATTTTTAGCACCACAGCAAAAATTTAAACCAAAACAAATAGGTAAAAACTAATGATACTCTAGGGGATGTAAAAACACTTAATCAGCCGTGAGAGAAATTACAGAGATGTTTTTAGAACACAAGTCTTCACTGATGATGCTGAACACGCAACACGAGACGTGTTCCTTATCTTGGTGTGTTGAGAAACTGATCTTTTTCGTAATTGTAATTCTAATATTTATTTGAAGTATTTAATGTAATTGGCTATTCAATAAACAAATTGAATTTTAGTCCACAAAGGCTTAGCATTTTTTATTTGTTTAAAGTAATTTTCAAAGCTAAGAGGTGTTGTATGGTTCAATTTAATGACCATAACTGCATGGCCATGATCTTGTTGCTGAAAATCTTTTAATAAACATATTATCTTAGAAAAAATAATCATACATTGATGCAAGCAACTTCTTGAATACATCAAAAACTTGAAAAAGAGTTCAGAGATTTACAGCAGTAATAATTCAGCAAAAGCGCTACGAGAACACTTCATTTACGCACTGTTTTCCGATTCAAGACTTCCCAGCAACGAGCTACTTTTACATTTGTTTCTCTTTTGTGATTTATTACTCTTTGCTCACTTTTCCTGGGGTTTTAGCATATTTAGTAAATACGTATTCTTTATAAGAGTGATCGTGGTAAGGGACAGCTGGGGAGAACACCAAAAAACATGGTCAATAAGGAGTAACGACTTTTTCTGTTGATATACAGGTTTAGGAGGAAAATGTTTTGAACTAAACTTTCAAAATAATGTGTTGCCAATTACGATTACACTTTAATGTCAACTCATTGGGTTATTTTCATAGTGACTTTAATAATGTGAATCTTTACTCCAGCATTTTGTCAGATAGACATTGAAAACAATTTGGTATCTAGTAGTAGTTATATATCGATGGTTCCAGCATAGAACTGGTTTACTGTACTCCAGGCTAGTCCTCGGGGGGTGCGGCATAGATTAAATCTATTGGTGATTGGTGGGAATTGAACCCGAGACCACACTCCACACTGCCCCAAAGCCCCGCACTCTACCACTTGACCAGCTCGCTACCGGAAAAACCCTTTATAAACCACAATCAATTAAGAAACTAGAAAAATACATAATACAAAAATATTTCACACCTGTACAATTCCAATGGTTTCAGTTAATTATTTGATTGTCTGACGAGGGCCAATCGATGGAAAATAATAAATATAAACATAGATTTATACATACATTTTTAAGTATAGATATTTCATAACACAACTTAAATAAATATAAATACTATCATTGTTCATGGTCTATGTGTATTGTGTAAGTTTGACAAACCCTCTGTATATTCTTTCAAAGCGTTTTCTGACATACTTTTGTTTGTTTTAGGTGGTAGAGGGACTTCGAGCATAGCCCCCCACGGTAAGTAGGTCTACTAACCAAACAATTGAACGTAAATACTCGTACATGTATCACATACAAAACACAATTCTTGGTCAGATAACCTAAGTGACACTCAACGTATTTGTACGTTAATTAATCTTCTATAGCTACAGCAACCTAATTAGCTTTGCTAAACAGTTGCATCGCCCAGTTGGGAATACCCCACTTTGCATGTAGGTCACCTAAACCTCAGATACAGCGTACACTGTCATAGTGGGGAGTGTTACGTGACTACATGTTAGAATCCAAAAATAAAATACACGGTCAAGTTATCATAGTGAAATATCTTGAAAGTCTTTGCTCTATTATAATGGCACAGAATGTGTTAAGCGGTTTAATTTTGGCTAAAATATGTACACGTTGTGTGGAAAACCTAAATAAATTAGATAGAAGGCATGTTACTAGTGGTGTATATTTAGCCTCGGTGCCCCCAGATTGCAGCTGTAAAAGCAAGTGACCTTTACACCTCAGATCGATACCTCCTCGCTGCCACAAACTGTCTGACTCGACGGCAACCTATAGGATAAACGATTTGAGGGATATTTATATAACAATCTTTTCGGAACACATAGTGATTTATTCAATACATTATTTTTTTAAAGCAAGATTTTATTTATAGACCTAACATTCCCTACTCCCCTAACATTTCCTTGAAAGAAAAGCGAAAAATGAAGAACTAATTTTACTAGTATTCAAGCAAGGATTCAATCCAGACTTGCTTGCTATCTTTTTAGGAGCATCCCAACCCTTAGTAAGGGTGATTGGGGGTCTTCTTCCAGAAAACTTGGTATATTTAATATATTTTGGTCCTAGACTGTTCACTGTTGTGTTTCATACAGCACTCGACTATGACTGTGATGCTGCTAGACAGACACGTGACCACTCAGTATCACCAGCAGTCTCAGCAGCTAGTCATAGATATTATTCACTGTTGTGTTTCAGATAGTACCCGACTATGACTGTGATGCTGCTAGACAGACACGTGACCACGCAGTATCACCAGCAGTCTCAGCAGCCATGTTGTGTTTCAGATAGTACCCGACTATGACTGTGATGCTGCTAGACGGACACGTGACCACGCAGTATCACCAGCATCTCAGCAGCTTGTCTTAGATACTATTCACTGTTGTGTTTCAGATAGTACCCGACTATGACTGTGATGCTGCTAGACAGACACGTGACCACGCAGTATCACCAGCAGTCTCAGCAGCCAGTCAGCGCGCTCAAAGCCCCTCTCCGCCTCTCCTACTCGCCCTCCAAGGCTATGCGCTATTACAGATTGTGGATCTACACATGCAATGCCGTCCTGTTCATTTCTGTGCTGGGATTCTCAATCGTCGCAACAAAGGTAACGTCTTTAACTACCAACAAAAGAACCACTAGTATTTTATTTTAATTATTTTTTTATGTAACATTTCTTACTATTTATATTAAATGAACCTTTTGAAACAAAATAGCTTTAGACAACATCATTATGGCTGCCTCTGAATTTCCATTTATATTTTAAACTATCCATATATAAATAAACTCATTTAAGTTAATCAGCTTTTGAGTACGGTATCATTAGATTCCACAATGTGTTTGGATGTAATTTTCGTGCTCCTACCAGAGAATGAGCCCTCTTGACCATCCTATAGTCTCGACCTAAAGACTGAGGATGACAAATAAATTGTGTGTTAGAAATCTACATCTGATGACTCGGTTGAAGCCAAACACAACTTTATATCCACATTTTATCCATAGTTTAAATTTTATACAAGATAAACGTGTTCGTAAGTTAGATGAAAGATGAAACCAACTACTTTAAATATGGTGTCTTCTATACATCTAGATTCTTGATGTTCAAAAGAAAAGCACTATTTTCTAAAACATGATTCTAACGTCTACTGTTACAAAAAATAGATCATAACAATGTATTAATTGAGTATTTATTTCTTGTTGAAGGTTCTTGTGGTGGAGCCAAAGCGAGCGCTCGTCCCAGGTCTGTCCCTGACCCAGCCCAGTTTCCTCTACGCCTACCTCGCGTTGGCCACCCAGTCCGGAGTGCTGCAGTGTATAGGCTGCCTGGGAGCGCGTAAACTCAACGAGCGCCTCCTCAACATCTACTGGCTGCTGATCCTGGTGCTGCTGGTAGGCGACGCCATCCTCGGCATCGTGTGGGTCTACCGCTTCGACCGCATCACCGAGGAGCTCAGGCCGGTGCTGAAGCAGAGACTCGCGCTGGAGTACGGCGTGGATCCGGTGTTCACCGAGCTGTGGGACAATGTGCAGAGACAATACAAGTGTTGTGGTGTAGACAGCAGCTACGACTATCAGCGCAACGTCACGCTGCACTGGGGTACGTTGTTCTTTATGACTTGAGTTATTCTGTACACCAGTTTCAACTGAATAGTGGTTACTTATGAAATTGACTAATTGATTTAATTGGTTAACAATAGCATTTTAAAGGGCCAACTCGATCCGGATCTCCCTTAAACCACTATAAAAACGTTAAACAATTTCGATTACGCAATAAACATACACTTAAGTAAAATAATGACTATAAATTATTTTAACTAAGAATGACACATACATTTTTAAGTCTTATTCTTACACTTCTTCTTATCTTACACCATGCATGCTACCAGTCCATAACGATCCTTTAACATGTTCTTTTTAATGTCCTTTTTTATAGCATGATCCGTAAAAGTTATATTATTTTACTATACAGTATTGAAAATAAAGTGTCCAATTTCTAAGTAGGACTCAATTTAGACGATTTGTTATACAGAGTACTTTGCTATGAAATTATGGATTTTGACGTAAGAAAATTTCATTGTTTGCGAATTATCACAAATACTATAATTTGTACGTCCATTTAAAGCATATAAAACAATATTGCACTAATTACATTGAAAATGTTTTACGTGTTATATGTGCATGGTTAAAACTAAAAATAAAAAGAAAGCCCCCTGTACTTTGTATAAATATTTATAATTCCCTATAAAATTATTTTACAGGCAAAAACTACTTAAATGTTCAGATGGGGAAACGATTCTGAAATCTGAGATTTCTGAGAAAAATAAACAGGAGTGAACAAACATGGGCATTATACGAGCCTTCTCAAACAAATCCTCTCGCAATTTAATCAAGCTGGTCTCAAGTTTCCGCCTCTGATTCTATTTGATCTGGACTCAGTGTTAGTGACCCCTTGCTAACTTAATGTATTTATATATACATTCATATTGAATTTTAGGGGAATATGCCTAATATTTATATTAGTATAAAAATATGTTAAATCTATAATATCACACTTAGTAATTTGAACAGAGTGAAAGGCTAATTCAGAAACATTGGCTTTTTAGGTAAAATCTTAAACTTGTATTCCTCGTTAGCGGTTTTGTATAAATTTAGTAGGTGTTTTAAAATATTTCACTTCAAAATTGTTATAATAGACTACAATTCGCCTTCAAACTTCACGAATTGGTGTTTGGAAATGCTTCTACTGTAAAATATTTAAAAAATTTTAACTAGTAAGATAATTAAGTAAACATAATTATTGACTAACTTGAACTAAAGTCATCTCAAACGTACACTGGTGTACCTACTTCTAAGGCCGCAAGATTGAAGAGTTTTATTTTTGCCACTACTTTACTCGGTCGTAAGCTGCTTTCAGATCCTTGTCTAAGTTTCCTCGAGTCCTACTTAAAATTTCCAACTCATTCAAAGTAAGAAAAAGGATTGTGTGGGCATACAGAATGGCTATTTCGTAAGGACCACTTCAGATCCACACTCAATATGCTACTTTATCTTACTTTAAAACTGTACATTAAATTTTAGTAAACAGTTAGTTGTCTTTGAGCATAAGTGTTCAATAATTGTCTATTCACTGTATGGGCCATAATTTTCAAAGTTTGTTTTTATAATAGTTGCATGGTAAAACATTGCATATCTCCATTATGATAATCGAAATTGAAATTAAACAGAAAACGCTGTCAATTATGTATTCCGCGTTTGTTTTGGAGGCTGGCTCTTCAAGGCAACAATTCATCTACACCATTATGATGCTTTTCACTAGGTTTAAATATATGTACCGGGATTTACCAATCAGTTGGTTTTTATTTTTTACTTACTTTGTCACTGAGGCAAATAATAGCTTGGTTGGTATGTACGTTAGATGTTTGGTGAATTGTTTTTTTTTCGGTCGGTTGGCTCACAAGATTTATCAGTTCACACCTCCAGCAAAAAATTGGGGTTGTTTGGCTTGTTTTCCTAATAAATCGAATAAATATCCACATTCTTAAAGGAGTAAAGAAAATTCTAGGTACCCTAGAAGTGGTCTTCGGGAAAGAACCTGGAGCCCAGGAGAGCTATCGAAGGTATCTAAGACTGTAGACTGTAGGCTTAATGTTTCTTTATATTGGATGGGTATCCTGTATAGATGGACGTAGGCCTATAGTAAAAAATATTATTTATGGATGAAAATTTAGAGGTGTATTAAGTCAAAAGCACTATATTACATCTATCTTAAAAAAAATTAATGTTACATATGTTTTTTTAAATATATATAACATGTTACAGGTATGGCAGGGTCGTCGTCTCCGTCGCCGGACGGTGTGACGATGACGCCTCCAGTGACGTATCTCCCTGACAGCTGTTGTATAGAGTCACCCCCAGTGGCCGCCGCCCTCAGGCACTTTGTGTTTACCACAACCACCGCCAGCAGCACACTGGTGCCAACTTCCACGCTGCAACCCACCACACTGGCGCAGGTTGGTACCACTGACAAAATAAAGTAATAAACAAGCACGATGTACATTCACCAAACAGTGCACATTTCTATCTACTTGTAAAGCGTTTCTATAGCTATTGACTGGAGGCTTTTGAAATACCATCATGTAACCATTGATTATTACATAGTTATATCAACACATGATTCAAGAATTTCAGGATTTATATCTTATAACTAAACATAGTGCTGATATACTTAAATATCAAAGCAAACTTATTTAACCAATGAAAATATCTATGATATTTGAGTCATGAATACAAATAAATCAATTATTTTGTAAATACAGTAGATCCATACAATAAATTAATAGCCTAATTCTGTTTATTCTGTTGTCGGTAGTCACATTTTTTAGTCTTTTAACAAATAACTACATAAATAGAAATAGCAGTCAGTCAAACAGTTCAAAGAGCTTTGATGATTGATGCTGGAACATTTAGTTAATGAACCGGCTGGAAAAATGAACAAAATATATCACGCTTTGTTTTTGACAACTGAAAGATACTTTTCCCTTTCATTGCAACAAAGAATGGCAACTGAGTAGTGTTGTTCGGAGTTATATAAAGGAAAAAAAACTTACAGTACCACAATAACTGAAATATTGTAGCGAATAAACCTAAAATATTTTAAAAGGTAAAATCTTACTTTCTTGTTTTGAATCAGCTGAATGAAGGTTTATTCTTGAAAACGTGTAGTATCATAAACGTTGATGAAGGCTATAAATAATCATCATATTATAATTTTGTTATTAGGAAAAGCAATTAATATCCCAATGTCCTACTTTAAACATTTGATGGTCTAGACTATGTTATAAGTAAAAGAATCAAAATTGTAATACGTTTATGACTTTCCTCAGTATCTTTTCATTAGACGTCAAATAATCTTTGACTAGGGGTTTTGACATCATTAAAACACAAGACAGACGTACATCCCTAGTTTTCAACAATATTATGTAATCTGTATATAGAAACACTTTTAATGCCTCAAATTTCATTTGAAATACCAAGATAATGTGGCATAGTTGTTGTGCCTGCAGCCAGGCGTTGGCAGTGTCAAATGCATGAACGCCAGTAGCTTCTACAGAGACGGGTGCGAGGAGAGACTGCTCATGTGGCTGCGGCAAACAGCTGACATCCTCTTCGTCCTGGGATACTGTGTTATTGCCTTCCTCAAATTGTGCTTCCTCGGAATTCTAAGGTATGGTTTGAAGTAACGATAGCAAGGAGTAGAATTAACTTTCAACGTGTGGAAAAATACAATACACTTTTGTATGTAGTTACAGCCCCAGACTATGAGTGGAAGCATGTAACTACTCAACTAATCGGATCCATGATATAGTAATATGCAAAATTCCAAACGAAGGATAAATTAAAATAAAGAACTTTCTAGTTGTAAAATACACACCCATCTCATTAAACTGTCGTGGAATATTGTTTGACACAGTAGTATCGATAACCTTAACAAAACGTGTTGTTCAATAGATGCATACCACAACATACCTTAATCGTAATTTCTTGCGACATATACGTTTTATTCACTGTTAACATTAAATATATATATAGTTAACTTAAACTGTATGATACATACTTGAATAGGCTTCAGTCATGATTACAGCCCGAGTTCCTTAAAAGAAATATAATCCCCTATGATAAAGGGTTTAAGGCCACTGTCTAATCGGTGTGCATTAATTGCGCCAAAAAGGCAAGCCCCGAAATGGTCCCAAAAATGTTCCTTAGTTGCGCCAAGCCCAAGCAAGGTAGGGGTGAGTTGCCGGCAGAAGGAATTGCCTTGTTTAAGTGTCGTCCTAACCTAACCTAATCTAACCTTACCAGCCTAACCTAACCCACCCAATCATATATTCAAAGAGGTCCACCACTTGGCACAGTTTATGAACGTATGGGGTGCCTCCCTGGAGTAGCTGGCGCAATTCAGGAATACCCAACTACCTGACTTAAGATGAGTTGGCGCAATTAATGTCCGTCCTAATTGATACGATACAGACTTGAATAAGGATTCCTTTTAGTCTAAGTTCCTTTTTAGAAATATAATCACATATGATCAAGGTTTTGAGGCCAATGTCTAATCACTAATTAACTAAATTCACAAACACAACTTGGTATTTAACATTTATGGTTACCATTCCTTTTAACTTTGAATATCTATTTTCCTGACAAGAACTAGGTGGACGCGTTTATTGAATACAATTTTCTTATTTTAATTTTCTTATTGAAGGTACGAGATCCGTGAAATGATACAAAAAATCAAAATACTCCAAGGTGAGCTACGAGCTGGATTGTATCTTCAAGAGGCTTCCAACAAGTCCCCAAACATTTCCCGCCATGAGCACAACAATGGCAGAGTGATGTCAGACTCTTCTCAAGGTAGAGTATGCAGTCTGTGTCGTGATAAAGTAGTAAACACGGGATGTAATGAACTTTAAGTACCGGTAGCTACTCACGGGCTGAACATAGAATCCAACATTTTAATGCAAACACTTGAGAAAGTGTTACAAGTTGTATTTTTTTGTTTTCTTTCTTTAAAATTTGTGTTTTTAGTAAAAATACTACGGGTGTCAAACTTAAAGAATATATTAATACAGCTGTGTGATAGTATAACGTGAAAAACTTTCAACTATATTCAAACAGTGTATATTCATACACAATTTTATATTATAACAAATTCATAAAATTTTTCAAAACTTTACATGGTAATAAAATAGCCCAGGAATAGTGCTCCCAATGGTATGAAGATTCATGCACAGAACGATTTTCTAAAGCTGTATGACTCTTAATGTATTGGATCGATTTTTTTGGTAACGCATGCTTGATAGACATTCGCATATACGGATGTTCCTATCATTATAAAGTATAATAATCATATTTAACCCTAATCACACATTGCATTTATACATGACATTTTCCACTTTCAAACAGTTTTAAAATACTCGGATACAACCCAGGTTCTTGTTGCTCAGGTCAAGTAGATTTAATGAGGATTTTAACAAATGGGGATTTTAACAGGATTTTAACTACCGATTATATGAAACGTCCACTGCAGAACCTCTAACACGGATTCTATCAGTAACTCCCATTTGTCTGAAAAATAGTTATAAGGCTATTCATCAATTTCCATCATGACTAAATGAAAATGAGAAATGTAATATTGCTTTTTAATTTAGGAGCAACCATCCAGGCTAACCGGCGGTTAGTGCCAAACGAGGTGTCCACAATACAAGCACAAAACAGCCTTCAAAACACCCCACTACACCACGCCAACCCCTCAGCACATCATCGTCACCTGTCTGCTGTCATGAGCACAGATATTGACAGTGACACTAATAGTCATTGTGCTCTACTTATACCGGAGGACGCAATCAAACAAGGTGGGTTGGTGTCTAGTGATATTGTTAGTGAATGGAGGAGAAAATTGTGTAATGGTACTAATCGTACATTGAAATTCTTTTTGCTGGTTTGAGGTGAAAACTTAGGTTACGATCAGTTTGAACGATTTGGGTACGAGGAAACACCAGTTACCCTTACACAGTACTGCTGTATGTTTTTTACCAATTATAAGAATGTTTAGAGAAGAGCCAGTTTTAAACGGCATTTTGATATTTTCAAAAATGATACTCATTGGCCTAGTTAGTAGGTAAAATTATCTACTACGTCTTCGACTTTTTAAAGTTTTTATCGTAACGAAATGGTCCTCCAAACCCTGGTTTTGTTACATCCTAAAATCAGTCTTTTGTTAGGTAGCATCATTAAATGATCGCCCAACGAAAGTTTAAGCTCTCTGAGCATCATCTTATATAGTTTATAAGGAACGATCTTACAGTATTTGGCGTTTTATGTCATTACTAAAGCAGTCAGGATTTAGCAATGTCTGCTAATCACCAAAGGCGCTTCTGAATTTGACACCTTACTCTCTAGAGTACTTAGAACTTTGTATTAGGTTGTAATGTATAATCAAGATTTCTTTACTTTGAAAATAATTTTGATATATGCCAGAGAATAGATCATTTCATTCAAACCAAACTATTGACACAAGGTTCGTGTAGTTTCGAAGGGGAATTGTCCAAGCTTGAGTTCGTAAAGCATTTACAGTAAATATTGTGTAAAAACTGTTTAATTTGGTTACAAATAGCTTCTAGCCTTGCCATTAAAAGAACATACAGGCTTTACAGGTGTTATTTTCTTCACTATATTTATCTTAAGTAGCTAAAACTCTTCTTCATTTCCTTATTCTAAGAGACACTAGGCTGAAATTGTACCGTCCACTGGATGGACGATTGTGTGTTGACAGCATCTGTACGTCAATGGTCAGATGGATGATCAGGTTTGCGTTGGACCGGAAGGATTTTTAACTAGATTTACTTCTATCTTTACACTAACTCGTGTTGCAGGGCACAACAACAACTACGCTCTACAAGAGTATCTGCTCAAGAGGCATCACAACCAAATGTGACTACGTAGACTCGTGTCAGCGTGGTTCTCGCAAGACGCCACCCCCTTCCCGTTCTCCGTCAGCGTGACTGCACGAAAGGACAAGGAAGAAGAGAAGTAACTACCCTGTAGCAGTGGAACCAACTGCTGACAGTCATTCTGCTTCTGGTCATATGGTTGACGGAGCGGTCGCGGGTTGGCAGCACTGGCCGCGACTGGCACGAGAACATGTGCTGCATGTGGAAATCTGCTTTCGGAAATGTAAAAGTGGAAAGGAAAATTGTAGTAATGATAATGTCTGAGTAAGCATGATTCATCGCTGTGTAATAAGACATAGAATTACCGAGTTGCATAAATAATAATGACCCTTTGGGGAAATTATTGGCAATCGTTTAGGTTTTGGGGTTCAAACGACGTTTATAATTGTCATATATCACTAGAAGGAAATAAACTTTGAACTTGGTTATGTTTAGAATATATCATAGTCCACCCCAGGTGCGAATGATTTTATGTTACAGTACTATTTTATCCTACCTTATTTCTGTCAAAATCCATCATTTAAACCAAACCTTATCAAGGACAATGCTATACAACCCATTGCGTTATATGTCTAAACTCAGAACACCGCTGTTTCATTACAGTGATGGGTTTTTCCATCAACGGAAAGTAATTGAAATTCAGTTTGTGAAGCAGCTATAAAAATTATATTCTTGGGACCATACTTCCACCCTCCACTACAACTGTAAACCATATTCAAGCTATGACTCAAACTAGTGGGACCACACACAAAAACCAGCCTTACTAAAAATGTCAAATAAACTCAATATTTAACCGTTACAAAAGTAAACACGACTCATATTATAAGATTAACAAACTTTATATTTTTTCACTATCTTCAAACGTTTATCGTTTGTTGCAAGGTAAAACGTTTTGAAATGAAAAAAAAAACTTTATTTCTCATTAAACCGAATAAACTTAACTGCCAAAAGCAACCCTAAAAACATGACTAAACTATCGAAAGTAATATTTTTATATCTTTTAGGCATATTTACTATGCACATTATAAAAACATGAAATAATAAATGTGTAATCAGTAAAAATCCATTAATGATCGTGTGTTTGAAAAATATACGATCCCTAACATATTTTCAAGGTCAATAAACTGTACACATAAACATTAAGATATACAAGTTGGATAATGAGGGTACATAAAAACTGAAAGATAAAACCACATGACTGAAGCAGATTGGTGTTACTAAAATGTTCAGCGTCACTAGTAGAACTTTGACGTGATATAGTTAAGTGAGAATTATTAGCATTTAAAGGTGCTGTGTAAAGGAGGAATGAAGATAAAAAATATCAATAACACCAACAATAACAACAGAGAAAATCCATATGATGTATATGTTAACTTATAGGTTTGGTTGACTATTTTAATCATGTTATGACAAAAATTTCAATTTAATAGATTATCTTAAGACGTATTGTTTCATACTTATATATGTTCTATAAACAAGCAAACATAAGTTTACAACATAAAGGTTTAAACTGGTTAAAAAAAATTGTTTTCATGACAATATTTAATGTTTAACAATGACCTCATTCAAAATAATTAATTATGGCCAATATTATGTTTTAAAAGGGTATTACACCAAAGTTAATTATAATTAAAATATAATACACACACAATGGGTGTTGAAAATAATCTTTCCTAACTTTCTTCATTTCTCCTTGTTTCAAAGAAAAGAATAGTGAATGTTCCTAAGTAAGATACTTTAACATAATGTAAACTGTATATTAGTTAATTTATCTTTCAATGAGTTATAAAGAAAAGATTGGTCGAGGTTGAATTTCTCAAAGTCCCGTTTACTGTTTTCTTAATTTAATTACCTTGATCTAATGAAGAAAATGTTAAACTTATAGCAGCTTTTTACTGATATTTAGCTTTTAATCGTAAGACTTTTAATAGTTTCCAAGAAATTTTAGGTTTTTGCTTGATATTTCAAGAAGGAAATTCTTAGTAAAAAGCGACAAAAACTGTATTTTTTAGTTTATAGAAAATAACTACCAAAAACTCTACATTCCGAAACAGTGTACGAATAAATTTGTTGGATCATAATAATTAGTTAACAGCTATATTTTACATGATGTTTAACAGCTTCGATATTGATTACTCAAAGCGGTTGGAAAATATCAACCGCTGTACTCTATGAATGTGTCGCCATATTGAAATCGTTGGCTTTATCACTGTTCCCATTTTATTTTGTTTCTTAAAGTACAGTAAAATACCGTTTCATTCAATACATACAGGCAGGGCTAGAGATACTGGACATACAGGACAATTTCCTAAAGTTGCCACTGATGTTTTCCCTAACGAATTCCTTTTATCAGATGAGATTGACTACATTATAGCTCAATCTTTTATCCATAGCTTATCATTGGACCAATTAAACACGAAACGGTTTTTCGCAATTTATTTGTTATAAAATCTAGAAGCTAATTGAGGCGTCGAGAGGCCAAGGGAGATATGTGACTTTTTAAAAAATGTCATTGTATTTTTTCATGGTCCTAGAAAAAAAATAATAAAATAAAATAAATTCACTTATACCCCTTGGCTTCCAACTCTTAGGTGTTTAGTTTGGAGGCCAAGGGATATAAGTGAATTATTTGTTGAAATTCCACCCTTTTTTAACAAAACCCGTTACCATGACAACATTTTTTTTAAAGTCACATATCTCCCTTGGCCTCTCGACGCCTCAATTATTATTTCACCAAGTTCCAAAAATACTATTATGATGTATGAATGTACTTATTTTATTTCAACAATCTTCAAAATATAATTATAGACAATTAATTATTCATATTTCGTGTTTTAATTTAAGAACTGACTACCGCTAAAAGAAAAGAAGATGACATTGAAAAATACGCTGTTATGAACTTGTGTTTAAACTAATATAGCGCATATGAATCTACGACAGTTGTCGATTCATTTATTAGAGCTTAAAAGACGGGATTTTATTACATAGGCTAATACTATTTTTTTGAATATTCACATAGGCTTAAGGTATTTTTAGTACTGCTTGTTACATAAATAGGCTCATTTTCATATTTGTGTAAATTGTTGCAATTAGAACTCGCATGTTCATAGAGGTTTATATTTTTTACGTTAAATGAAAGTTGACACCATAAGAAAGGACTTTGAACTAAACTACTGCTGTGAACTCGTTAGGAACTAGATTAATTAAATATTTTAGTTGTATATAAGATGGTTCTAATGTTTAGTAATTATTCATTAATAACAAAGATTGTTTACGTGTATTACATAGTGTGATCTTGTTGAATATTTTTACATAGACTTTGTTAAATGTATAAAGGACATTTGGTTAACTTTATATCTTTCTGATATTTCCTAAAATGAATTTGTTTTTAAAATAATGTAATTCAAGTTAATTGGATCAGCTATGGACTATTATTGTACTCATAGTTTTTATATTTTAATTTAACCTGTAAGTATTCAAATAAAAATTATAAATTAATGTTTATCCAATTAATTATTGCCATATTCTACCTTTATGTGCAAAAGTGCAAGTTTTTTGATCTCCTAATTTGAAAAGTACGTAAAGATTTTATGTTAAAATTAACGATTGTCACGATTACTTGTAAAAAAAAAACAAAGTCATAAATTGTCGTATTGTGGACGTCATAAGGTTTAATTTCATTACATGAAAGTAATTTATAAAAAAACTGTAAATTACTGGTGATTTTGTTTTATTCTTACAGTTATTCCATTTAGTGTTTTTCATACTACATTTTACTGTAATGTGTTAACTCTTCCAATATATTTTATTGAGTAATAAAATTAAATTGGTTTAATAATTGAGTGTTTTCCTTTTGCACAACCTGCTGATTATTGAAAAACAAGACACAAATTATCAATGTATTAAAATCATAATGATGCTAAAAACTCTTGCACGTATACAATTCGCAGAAGCAATAATTATTAAGGAATTTTTATTTTAGCGAGGAGTAGTTATTTTTAATATGGATCATTATGTTTCCGGATTGTGTGCAGTAATAAAAAGAATACCGTGGCTTAAGCTTGAACATAACACAAACTAGAAAAACAAAAATATAAGAATTTAAAATATATTGTGTTAAATTAAACTTAACCCGACTACTTTGAATACTGATCTATATTGCGATATCCGCAGCTAGTAAACTGAATTCAAATAATATATTAAACTCTTCAAAAGCCTTGACTAACTTTATATAGCTTGAGTTGTTTGTTCAAAGCTCTTGGTTGTCTAGTAATCAACCTAATAGCAAAAACACTTCAATAAAAATATATCAAATTGTCTTAGTTTTCACGAGTTTCTGTAGTATAAAAACCAATTTGTGAAGTCACTTTCCAATTAACCTGAACGTTTTAACCGTCTAATATCAAACTTTATGTTGATCGCTGTGAAGTAATTTCTCTTCTATTATCTTTTAATCACCAGGTGAGTTACACAAAAGTATAAACCTACTTTTATCGCTGCATTAAGTGATTACTTGGTCAGTAAAGACACGCTCTATATTTAACTGCAATAGGTTAGTTTAACAGTCATTTGTAGTTAAGTAGAACCTAATCACATTACCTAAAATAACCTTAACCTTAAATATTTTGTTACATCTAGTTGGTGACTTGGTTAGCAAAACTCAAATGATTAAACGATCTAATCTTTGTCAAGTATTAGTTTTATTGGAACTATAAACATCGTGGGTAAAAAAGTAGAGTCTTCGACGTACAGGAACAGAGGTTCTTGGTGGGCTTCACATTGTCAAAGTTTAACCAAATTCAGGGCTGTGTGCAAACATCACATACACCAAATAAATTCACAAACAGAACACAACACTCAAATTATTTCAAATGCTGTTTCATGATTACAGTGGTGGGTTTTTATTCCGGTAATGTAAATCTACAGAAATAAAACCACATAAAACTGCAGTGGTAATCATACACATGTCCTATCTGAAAAAATCCAGACTCTTTAATGAAACATATGGGACTGAACGCTGACTGATATTGATGACAAATTGATAATGTCAGTCCAATCGCGCTTTGCTTCATTCCACAGCCAACATTGTATTACTTGTTTTACACCAACCTCGACTCCATTGTGATGATTGATTTTGTTTCCCCATTTGATGAATACAAACTGAATAGTCCCTACTGCTCCATTTAGGTGAAATGAATATCAAATGTTTCAAGCAAATAGTATATTTCATAACTGGGGCCTAAAGTGACTCTATTTGACACGAGGCGAAGCCGAGGTCGGAAAATGAGTGAGGGTTAAAAAGTCACTTTTTGCCCGTTTGTTGAACTATATTTTTCGTCATATTGCACCAATAATTAACAAACAAAGCTAAAAAACTAAATAATTTGTATGTAAAGATACAAATGCTAAGATACAATTGGTGCTATCTGATAATCTCTCAAAACGACTTTCAGCTTGTTTTCAATTCTGCTAATGCAAATAAGCAGCTTTTTAAGTGATTCAATCATTTCGTCTATCACGATTGTGCTAAAGTACATTATACCATCGATATGTCGAGCAATCGATATCAATAGGCTAAACCTTGCGTAATAAATTAATCGATAAACAATTTCGATCGATAAGATTGCCACAATCGAAATTTAGGCCTACAACTGTTTACAACAGCTGATTTTTACTCCCAAGAGACAAAAAATGATTTTTACTCCCTAGAGAGTAAAAATTATACTTTAGACCCGGAACTCATGCGTTAAAAACGGCTGTTTTTGCTGCAGTATGACGACAAATATTTTATAGCGGTAATTTAAAGAAAACGAAACATAGACAGGAGGCGTAATCGTGATAACGATCGCAGCTACAGAACAGTGGCGCGTAATAGGCTTAACTCATCACAGTCAGCACCTGGCCCTGGACAATCTCAACTATTAGGTTACAAATGCGCCCTAACACTACCCCAAAACGACTTTTCGTTCTCAATTGGCCCTCTATCGATGACCTGTGTTGCCTGTAGAGAAGAAGAAAACCGGCCGGAATGCTTTAGGTTTATCAATAACGAAGATAAACATGGTCTGAGTTACACAACGGTTATCTTTGAGTTGACTCTTTTAAACTCATTGTAAATATGACTGTTATTCGTTTTGAAATAACTCCTGTAATACATTGCAATTGCTCGAATTCGAGCAACATGTACGCTAGTTATTATTAAATCATTACTGATAACCACTTAACAGTTTATAAACATTTACTTCTTTTATGTATGTTTATGATTCACAAATATATTAAAGATGTTTCTAAGATATGTACGTAAATCTATCTATCGCAAATCTAGTTATAATACGTAGTTCTGTCTGCTACAGCCACAATCGTTTAGTATACAGGCTATACCACAATGATGTTGAAAATGTTTTTTTTTATTAAAGCACAACGCTGTGTGGCAGCCTTTGGACATTCAGTTCAATATAACCATTGAAATCAGATATACAAAAAGATTCTCGTTTAATACCTGATGGTGGGTTCGTATCAAATTCAAATTCAGATTTCCTGCCCGTCTAGTTTGAATGGAAACTATTTGTTTTATAGTGGTATTTTTAATGTAAGCATCATGATCCATGAATGTATCACCAAACGTAATCTCGGATAAGCAATTAAAATGTAAGATAATATGATAGCACATACTTAGGAGAAAAGGATAGGTTTTTGCGATTTCGATTCTCACATTTTAAATGTAGAATTTATACTATAAAGTTAAAAACACACGTTTTTCTGTGATGTTTCCAGAGGTCGTTTGGAGCACTAGTGCGTATTTTAAAACTCAAAGTTCGAATAGTTTTCAAATTATTAAATACGACTATAGCTGTAAAGTTTTTTTTTAAAACCAATCTTCTGGGATAGTATAGAACTAGAGTTATTACATTTAACATTATTTCAAATATGAAATAAATCAAAAACACGTTTAATCAAAATTAACATCATGAGCATCGTAACTCACACGTGAACGTGAGTTTTCACATTTCTGCTGAAAAATGACACAATGTGAAATCAACCGCAAACGACAAGTCAGGCTTGATATATGAACGTTACTGTGTGAACATGGTTACGGGTTGATTTTTGTGTCTAGACCAGAAGCTGTGTGTGTGATCATTATTTTTCACTAGACCATTGTTATACGAATGCGAATAACTTATGAATTTATGAATTGCCACTATTTAACTACAGTTTGTATGATTTGCGTAGCTAATATCATGATTGCAGATAAGTTTAACTAGATATTCGTAGTAATTGGAAGCTCAAGCAATACTTAGAGTAGTAGCCTTAATTAATACATACAGGTACATTATTTCTTGTTTCTACATGCAACCTTATTAGTGTAATTTTAAAATGCAGCTCTTTGTTCTAAACTTAAAGGTTTATTCTTTCAAGAAAAAATTAACTTGAAACAGGTACGGGTATTTATAAAGTGGT